CACTTTTGGTGAAGACCTTTACCCAGTGTACGTTCTGTGCCCTTGCCAACCTCAGTGCTTCACAGAGAAATACTGATTAATGTACGGAGACTTCATGGGGTTCAGAATTACTGTTGAAGGCGCCTGAGGCAAGACCCTCCTGAATATGTACCACTGTGCCAATGCCTGCAGGTAAATGGGACATATCCAGGGATGGTGATGGTGATGGTGGTGTCTGGCACATTGTCGTTAAGGAGTAATTCAGTACATTACAATTGCAAACAATGCCTACTCAAGTGAAGATGCAAAAATCACTGATTAAAAAGTTGTACTTGTACAAATATACACAAGTACCCTTCTTGAAAACTAACAGACACACACCATACACAAACACATTCAACATCCAAGTCCAAGAAGAAAAATTAAAAACCCTGCAGAATTGTATCTAAAAAGTGCTTTGAGTTATGGGTTATAACAAGGGTTATGACCATATGAGGAGGAGGAAATGGGTCCTCTCTTTATACTCCTGTCTAAGTGAGTCACAACAAATATTGAAATCTTTTCTCAGCATGTAGCTACCATATTTCAATTAAATTATAATTAACTAGATCAAAATAAATAAGCCAGATTACAAGGTTTTCTTGAATGAAAGGAAGAGGAATTTATTACATACAACCCTGATCAACCCGCCTGACCCGAAATGTTAACTCTGTTTTTTCCTTCACAGATGCTGCCAGACCTGTTGAGCTTTTCCAGCAACTTTGTTTTTGTTCCTGATTTACAGCATCCACAGTTCTTTGGTTTTCACAAAAGATTGTCTCTGATCATTGTCACAATGTGGTTTGTTGGAGCTGGCTATGCACAAATTAGCTTCCATGTTTCCTGCATTACAACAGCAACTGCAGTTCAAATAAACTTCATTGGCTGTAAACCTCTTTCAGATATCTTGACATTGTGAATGGTGGCATAAAAATTCAAGTCCTTGTCCTTTTTTTGTTTAAACACATTCAGGTATTTCTGAAAGGTGTGCTTTGACAGACATGTTGCAAAGCTCAAATTAGAATTATATATTGTCTTTTTATTTTTGATTAGACGTCTTACTGAGCTTTTCTCACTAAATTTTCCATGTAAAACAAGATTCTGAGAACAAGCAGCTTTTACCTGGTTATCCATGGTGTTAACACCATCGGGTCCTAAGAGTTCGATGGCCTGATTCACCAGGTCTGTTCTGCCGCAGCTTAACATACGGAATCCAAGGTCTTGCTGAAACTTGGCAGTAGCAGCTTTTGCGTCCAGTCTACGAAATGAACTGAAGCAGTCTTCAGTTCTAAGAAAAAGTAATACTTATATTTGTATGGATTGCAGGGTACAACCTAACTCAAATCAACTGAAATAAGATCAGGTACTTTTTATAATTTACATTTTTCCTCTTTTCTTTTTCCTGTTGATCTCTTGTCACAGTGTGATTTAACTGGGAGAATTCCTGTTTAATGGCGAGTTATGTTGTCACTTTGCAAAATGATCGTTTTCAAGATATGTGTTTCTGGCCAGTGAGAGTGTCAAAGGGCAACTTTATCTGGTGAATCTTAATCCTGCCCCTACCTGGCAGCTACAGAAATACCCATTCCACTGGAGACTTCTCTCTCCTTATCTGAGAGGTGCTGATACTCAGCATAATCATCATATTATGCCAAGAGGAAGTTAGCTAACTCAGTACAGAATTAGGGATCTTCCTTGTCTGTAAAGCTCAATTATTCACTCATGTAGCGCAAGCTCCTCTTAATTTCTATACATTTTCTTTTTCTCTCTATTTTGCTGGCTTACAAAACTCTTGACTATAACAAATCATCTGGGTCCTTTCAATCTGTGGTGCAGGTGATGCACAGCCAGCAACTGTCAGTGTGAAGGGGAATTTGAGTGACCAGGTCGCATCTCATATCCTTCCATCTGTTTGTGATCCAGCTTATAACACACTGTAATTAGCAACATACACCGTGAGACAAATATGCAGAGAGGCTATGATTCAAGGTCAGGTTTCTAAATCTGGCCTGGAGTTCAGATTGTGTCGTTGAGCATTGAAATCAAAGTCAAATTTACTAAATACCTAGATTCTGAAATCCCAGGGCTCTCAAACTGTGCAGGAGAGTAGTTTCCATATACAACACAAACCTGCATAGACTTAAACACAGACAGTCTTATATTGTAAAGATTAATAAGAAATTACAACCAGAGGAAATTGTTCCTTGGTGTAGCAACATTTACTTCTTTACAAAATGTAACAATAAAAACAATAAAATAAAGTATAAATTTGTGACTGAAGAGAAGACTATTGTAAGAAACAGTTTTTGCAGTTTTAGTCACTATTCTGATGATAACTGACTAAACTAGAAATTACGGTGTGCAATATTAATGCATGCACATTTGAAATGTTCATTTGGAATTTAAGCCACACTGCAATTTTTTTTATATAAGAAATTAGGAATTAGAAAAGATCATTCCGGTCAGTTTCCAAATCTGACCACTTATAACTGTGGGCCAAAGAGGAAAGGTTTATCAGGCAACCACCTTATCATCTACCAAGCTACACCCTACATACAAAAACAGATCCCTATTTCCCCCTTCACTGCAGCTCTTACAGAAGAATAGTACGTAAATAGCTTTTACAGAAGAACTGCACATACTTTAATTGCCGTGGTTCACAATCCAGCCCTGGTAGCAGCAAACGAGCAGTTTGTCTCACATCATCACTGTCGACAGTTAAACTGCGCCGATGCTCAGCATGTGTGATGGCTACTCTCATCCACTCCATTAGTGGAGGGAGCAACATGAATGGCCTGAAGCAAAGTAAAACAGAAACGCTGAATATTAAAACGGCACTGAAATAGTTTAAAGCAGTAACAGACGTTGCCTTCAAACAGTCTGACGTACTGGTCAGACCGCAAATGGCCTAGAAGGTTTCTAGTTTTGATCACCAAGATACAAGGACATATTCACACATTGGATAAGTAATCTGAACTGCGTCCAATTTCTCACATCAGATGCCTGAGTTATAAACAGTGATTACAGAAATTTGGGTTACGTATTCAAATGGAGATAATATGTACTGCAATGAAATGTCCCATTGCTTTTCACAGGAGAGTTATAAAACAAAGTATAACACTCAGCCACATCTTATAGCCAAAGGGCATAAAGTAAAAGTATACAAGAATAGCTACGACATACCCTGTATACAAAAGCAAAATACTCCATATTCTGGAAATCAGAAATAAGAACAGAAAATGCTAGAAGTACTCAGCTGCAGCTGTGGCGACAGAGAGAGAGTTGACCTTTTAATTTTCAGCAGAATAGACTCTGAACAAACTGAAATATATTCTGCAGAGTCTTGTATAAAAGTTGTTTCAGTTGTCCTACAATTTCATGTGCTAATTTCCAGCAGGTTACAAGTCATGGCACCATGCCCTACCTACCTTATTCCTCTGCGCTCAGCCTCACCCCACCCACCCACACACACACACACTTTTCATGACTTTTATTGTGATTGGACTGGAATATTTGTTCACTTTTCATTTTTCAGTTCTGATAGCAGACTGTCTGCTCAAAATGTTAGATCAGCTCTTTTTTTTAAAATCTATGGCATTCTCTTTTGCTTTTAAAAGAATCCATTGACTGTGTAACAGACAAGTTGAGGGTATACTTTGGGTTATGGTGTATTAGCTAGATTCATATTCTGGAAACTCAGCAGGCACATTCTATCCAAAGATTTCTCTGAAATGTCAAGAAAACAGCTTTCCAGTTTTTGCGAGAAGGGAGCTATAGACACAACATTGTTTTGGAATATGATTCATGGATTACAACAAAACATCAAAATATGTAACTGAATAATGAAATATCTTCTAAAAGCATACAAATTAACAAAATTCATCTTACAATCCTGTGATGTGGATAATATACTGACCAGAAGGGGGAGACAATGAGTAATACTGAAATCAACAATAAAGCACAACACTTCATAGAATCATAAGGAAGCAGGCCATTTGGCCCATTGAATCACCCACCTGGACCCATCCCCCCACTCTATCCCTGTAATCCTCCATTTTCCATAGCTAACTCACCTAGCCTGTACATTATGGGCAATTTTACATGGCCAATCCACCTAACCTGCATATGTTTGGACTGTGGGACGAATCCCACGCACACACGGGGAGAGAACGTGCAAATTCCATACAGACAGCTGATGGAGGGTGGATTCAAACCTGGATCCTTGGTGCTGTGAGGCAGCAGTGCTAACCACTAGGCCACCGTGCTGCCCCACTTTTTGCTCATATTGTAGTCAACCAGGCTTGCTACAGAAACTTTATATTACTGATCATGTAAGCAGTAGACTGATTCCTGAGATGAAAAGGCTAGGCTGATACTCCCTAGAGTTTAGAAGAATGAAAGATGATCTCATTGAAATATATAAAAATTCTTCAAGGCTTTGACAGGATAGATGCTGGATTTATGTTTCTCTTTTTGGAGTCTGCTACTAGGGGTCGCAGTTTGGGTATAAGTGATCTGCAAGCAGCGTGCTGAGACTAAGACAAAAAGAAATGTCTTTACTCAAAAGGTTGGAAATCTTCCAAAGAGTTAAGGATACGCAAGTTTTACTCAAATAAAAAGACATTCATTTATACGCCTCATGTGGCCACAAGACATTCCAATTGATAGGCAATTAAATATTTTTGGAATTAAGTGACTGTTGTAAATGTAGGATATATTTGTGTGCAACAAATGTGCGCACAGGGAAGCTCCTACAAATGGCAATGAGATAATGACCACAAACTGGTTTCTGTGACAAAAGCGGAAGTTGCTGGAAAAAGTCCTCTGGACCCAAAACGTTAACTCTGATTAACTCTCAGTAACACCTGAAGAAGGACTGAGGCTCCGAAAGCTTGTGTTTTTAAATAAATCTGTCAGACTAAAACCTGGTGTCATGTGATTTCTGACCTTGTCCACCTCAGTCCAACACTGGCACCTCCACATCACAATTTCTCTTCATAGATGCTGCCAGCATTTCCAGCAACTTCTGATTTTGTTTCTGATTTACAGAATCCACAGTTCTTTCACTTTTTACTTGTTTCCGTGACATTGTTGAGGGATAAATTTTAGCCAGAGCTCTGTGGATAACTTGACAGATCATCAAAACATTTGTGCCCATCAGAGAGGGCAGACACAGCGTCTGTTTAACATTTCATCTGAAAGACTTCACCTCAACCAGAGTAGCTACTCCTCAGTGCCACATTGGTTATCAACTTTGGCTTTTAGGCTGGATTCTAGGCTGGGTTCTTTACCCGGATTTTGAATTCTGGGTAGAGAACCCAGCCACCAGTTCAGCTCCAGTTTGCAGCCTCGCATGGTGTGAATCAGGCACACCCACTGGGATTTTTGGCAGTCACTGCCCAATTAAAGGATAGTCGGCAGGTTCCAGAGACTGGAGGACTATTGGGAGCAGCTCCAGTACACTCACATCAGCAGTCTCACAACCTGAAGTGGGAGTTCCAGATCTATCATGGAGAAGAGACAGTGTCTTTACATTGTGGTGCCCTATGACAAAGAGGTCAGTTCTATTTTCAATTTGAAATGGCCACAGCTGCTTGTTTGTGACGGTGGAGAGACCACCTTTCCCAGGGATTGCCGTCAATCAGAACTGGTAAAGCAAGTCTTGTGGGATTGGGCTCTGGGGCATGTCTCGCTTGTGACCTACTGCTCTCTAACTCTTGCCCCCAAACCTCTGCCCAAGTTCACCAGTCACATTGCAGACTGAAAGGTAGGAAAGTGGAGTAAAGTCCACAACTGGATCAACCAGAACCTTACTGAATAACAATAATAAGACTTGATGGCCCGAATGGCAAACTCTGAATTTCTTATTTTCTCCTTTTCCGATAAGTTTGGGGAATAGTTAGAGCTGTTCACTACAGCACACTGTCACCACCATCACTGCCATAGCCAGATTCTACCAAATTGCACTAAACAAAGTTAGTTAATTTGTAATAAACCAAAAGAACTGCAGATGCTGAAAATCAGAAATTGCTAGAAAAGCTCAGCATCTGTGCAGGAAAGACCACCAGATGAAATAAGATTAGTGTCCATGTTTTGGGTCCAGACACCCTTCTTCAAAACTGATGGGGTAACTAGGAAAAAAAACGGCATTTTATGCAGAAGATAGGCAGCGGAGGGGAGATCACCAGGTGAAATGAGGATAGTGACCGCTGTTTCACAGTAGCCTGATGTTCCATAGTAGGGTCATGGACAAAGGGGAGATAGGAGGGCGTATCTGAGAGCTGACGCTCAGCCTCTGCAATATAGAGGTCTGTCCACCACTCAGTAAAAACACCACCCTTGTCAGCAGGCTTAGTTACAAAGTCAGGGCTGGGTCTGAGAGCACGGAGTGCAGTCAATTCACAGGGAGATAGGTTGGAATAGGTAAGGTATGGAGCAGAGAAATTTGTAATAGTTTGATAGGATACAGAGTCCCAGAGTGATCGTTTCTGCAAAAATGTTAAGATCAGATCAAAAACCGTGATTAAGAGATTTTATGAGAAAAGAAGTTTTTTATTGCGTTTGCATGGTTTGAAATGTGATCAAAATATTCTGAACTACTTCACAAATAAAAGGGATGGTGGAAATCAGAAAAAAAATACAAAATTCTGGACATATACAGAATTCCCATAATCTTTTACACAGATGGAAGTTAGATAAATATTTGGTGTGTAGAATACTTATTGGAACAGGGCTCTGCATTTATACTTTCAAGATGTTGATCACTTGCTGTGCATTTCCAATATTTCTGATCTGATTTGACCTGAGGTATCTGTCTTCATCACTAAAGGTATAATGCCACCTGCAGCATTCTTACATCATTTTTGATTTAATCAAACTATTTTGTTTTTCCAAATGTTTAACAATATGTTTGTATCCTCAAAGGAAATACCAGTGTTCTCATGACTTCCATAGAGGCTGTCCCCATGGATATCAGAGCTGGATAAATGATTCTATTAACAATATTACCAGGAAGCTGCAGTAGACAAATGTCTCCCTTGGCAGCATCCACTGTTTGTGTTCCTTGCTTAAAGTGACAGACTGAATTGTTTTCTATGTTTAGAATGCAATCCATTGTGCAATCTATAAATGGGTTTACCCAAGAAAAGGATAAAGTTTGGCAGCTGGCACGTGCAATTCCATTCAGCAAAGAAAGAAAAAGAGGATATTAGTAAATTAATAATACAAATAAAAGAGAATTTCTAAAAATATCCCAACCATTCCAGGGAATGGTCCCACGGCTCACTAAACTAAAAGGCAATATTTCATTGACTTGATGATATCAACAAGGATAATGTAGAAATAAACAAAAGTGGTAATGAGAATTGATACTTATCTGAACTGAACATATTTTAAAATTACTTAGACGTACAGATATATTTAAAATCATGAGCAAACTTTTTTTCGATTGGAAACTGGAAAATAGTAAATTTTATGATGTTACTGGGGGATCTAAAGCATTAAGTTGAACAGTAGCAAATAGGTCATGAAAACACTCATCTGAAAACTATTTGCTATTGAGAAGGGAAGAATTTTCATTCACGTGTAACGATAGCACACAGAAGCAGGCTGTGCATCTCAAATGGGCCATGCCAAGGGCTGTACAACTTACCTCTTGCCCTCCTTTATCCCACGGTTGGCATATTTTCCATTCCTTTCTCCTTCACGTGCTTATCTAGATCTGCTCCCCCCCTTAAATGTATCAGCTCTTGTTACATGCTTTAAGCTTTATAACACCTTTCACATCCTTGGGATG